TAACGACGTTTTGTCTTTCCTCAGATTTCTTAAAGCTTCACATTCTTGTTTGGTGGGTTTAGATGGTATGTTTCTTCGTGCCATCAGTATGTGTGATATACCTTTGCGCACAGATTGTGACTCCTCATTGGTGATTTAGTTGTAGAGCAGGCTCGATCATAGGTGCTGTTTCCTGAATCGATGATGGCTTTCTAGTAATAGTGAAATTCAAAGCTTTCTGTGGTAATGGGATTTCATTTTCAGTTAGTATCTTGTCTGATAAGTTGTGTATAGTTCTATTAATTTTCACATCATTTGCTGAAGTTTTCTTCGCTTGTTTCTTTTCTTCAAGTCTCAAGAATTTCTGTATTTGTCTTCCTTTGTTGACATTGTGAAAGTGTGATTCTCGTTCACTAAATAACTTTTCGAAGCATTTGAATATATTAGTTGTAACAAGTAGTGCTAAACAGTCGTCTTCTAGATATTATTGATTCTCGCTCGATAAGATTCAAGTTCATTGTTGCAGTTATGTATTGTTTCTCGTAAAAATACTTTGGAGTTATGATTTGTAGCAAGTTTGGATTTGTGTGAATATTCGCGATGTTTCACTCGTCGAAACTTTGGAATAATTCCACTCTGTAGACAACGTACGTTGAAGGCACGATGATTGTATAAGTTACATATATGTTTCGATTAAATTAATCCGGTGTTTCAAGTGTTGGTTTGTAGGGATTTGATTGGTTACAGAATTTCATCATGAGCTGACACTGGTTAGAGAACTACTGGAAAACCTGTGAGTACTTGACAGCTGTTTTGTCCTAGTCAGCTCATGATGAAATCCTGTAACCAATCGAATTCCTACAAACCAACACTTGAATATCGATGAGATGCTCACTGGCGACTTGCCATATTCAGGTAGGCAGTTACCTCGGGTTCTAGTGCGAAGTCGTGACCAGTAGGGTGCATCATGTTGGTTGTGAGCACAAATATTCACTGAAGACATTGGCTAGCGATCGCACTATGTCGCGAATTGGCAGAAGTTAGAATTCATGAGCCATTATATCGGGTCCCAGTGGCTTAATTATCTATGAGCTAGCTCGCCTTGTAACCAGAAGGTCCTGGGTTCGAACGCTGGCGGTGGGTGCGTACTGATGAAGAGTCCCAAGCGAGGCCGACGAAACAGCTGTCCAGTACTCTCAGGTTTTCCAATGGCTCTCTAACCAATGTCAGCTCATGATGAAATCCTGTAATCCGGTTTTGAATTAAATTATGTGTATCCATACCAAGTTCACTTCTAATAGTTTGAAAAATTGTGGACATAGCGCATATTATGTTGCAGTATTCCCTTAACTTCTGCACTAAAGTCCCAAACGTTTTTCATTTATTTCAATAGGAGTTTACATTTAGTTTCATCTGTGGTCAGTCTTGATAGTTGTTATTTTTTCCAACTCTATTCAACCACTCTTCAAATAGCTTGTGTACACAATCAGTTTTTGTTGATTAAACACGCTGACTTTTAAATTTACGCCATATACTTATCTAGTTGGTGTATATATAGACAGAAACGTGAACTCTGTAACGGTGTGAATACACACCGAAATAACTGATGTCTAAACAAATCATTACTCTGATCATATCTGAAGCTGTCCTGCACTTTTGAATAGGCACATCTAGAGGTTACATCTTCATGAAATTCTCTGGCTGGATAAATCATTGCAATCTGATTGTTAACACTTGTAAATCCCACTGTTTCACTCAATGGCGAAATGATTGATAAAACTAGTAGAGATAATAAACTGCGTAAAACAGCATCATTTAAATGTGTAGTCAGATTTGCTTAAGAAACACAGTTCATGGCATAACTCTTCACATATCACACCAGTGTTTACACCTATTCCTCTAATGATAATTTCGAGTTTCAGTGATATACGAAGAACGAATAGGAATCATGATAGAGACAGTACTGACGTGTGGTGACATCTGTCCTCGCTTCTATATTATCCAGCAGTTGGTTATTTGAGGAAACTGTAGAATGGTCTGCTTGTCTTACTGAATGAATTTCCTGTCTCATCTAGATATGATATCCTCTCATAGTTTTGTCAAGATAAGTCTACAAGTTTGTGATTCCCCTGATCCAAATGGAGAATTCAAAATGCATTTGCAGTATTAAAGAGAATGTTGCTAGTAGTGGCATTGAAGACATAAATAAACTAAAAGTAACGTTTACAATAGTTAAGAACTGTTTGGTTATTGGTGGCTATCAGTGAAATCCAAGAAGCGCATTTTGCCCTCTTTCAGACTGTACAGGTGGATGTACCTGCATTCCTAGTAAGCGATGCGACTCAGTGGGGACATAGTCACTCACTGAGGATGAAGGTGCATCCAGCTGTCAGGTGGCAAACAGGACGTATTGTGTACCCTTGATTTCACTGCTACAGACCATCAGTCGACTAACATCATGTCGATCTTCAGATGTCGTGGAAGTAAGTGTCTGCACTGGCAGCCAACATGTTAAGAAGGAGTAAACGTGAAACACAAATTAACTCCAGCAATTGAAAACTAATACGTGCAAATTTGTTTATTAGTGATATACAACAGAGTGAATTATACTTTTGTTAGGCAGGGTTGTTAGTCAAATGGACATTAGAATTGGGTATAGAATCTCCACACGCAGAGATTGAGCCTGACGATAAAATTACATTATCACCTGTAGCAAATGTAATAAAATATATATATGCGGAGTGACAGTTGGAATAATGAATGGGAACCTCGGTACTGCCTCCGACCACCACGTACAACGGTCAATTCAGATCAAGATTTAAGTATATCTAAGAGATTCTAGGAGGAGTCCAACCATATCTATTTGGGCGTGTTTGAAACTAGTAATTGGGAAAAGGAAGGTGTCAGGTGTGCTTCTGGTGTGTCATAATACTTTGCACTTTTGGAAAGCTAGGCATGTATGAGCTTGTTCCCTTACTTCCTTATTGATACCAGGCCAACACAACTGACTAGTTACGAGCTTGACGGTAGTTCAAATACCTGTGTGGGATAAGCCATGTAACGTATTGAATACGTTACGGCGATAACTCTTAGGCACGATGGGGCCAGGAGTACCCGTGGAATTGTCGCATAGGATAGTGTCTCTCCTTATGCCTAAGCATCTCTCGGCTAACTACAGAGTTGTTTCCGACAAATCACGTTGCAGCACAGTTTCTTCTTTTTGAAGACGAGCCAGTTCTACAAGGTCTGTGCTATCTATTCGGACGGGGGAACAAATGCGCGACAAGGTATCTGTCACAGTGTTGTTCACTTCAGATACGTGGCGAATATCCAACATAAACTGAGAAAGGTAATCGAGTTGACATGAATCCCTTGGTGAATACTTATCTGAAGTTGAGTTCAGAGAGTACGTCAGAGGTTTGTGGTCAGTGAAAATTATGAATTCACTACCCTCTACTGAACGTCGGAAGTGGCGTGTAACGCTGTACATAGGCAGAAGTTCTCTTGCGAATGTGCTGTACTGTGTTTCTGCTAGTCACAGACGCCTCGGAAAAAGGCGAGTGGTCACTACTTTTGTCGGCTGGCTGTTGCAGAACTGCGCCGATTACAGTGTTGGACGCATAAACTGAGATGCCTAATGGTGCTTCGGGATCTCGAGACATAAGTAGGGTGGCATCCGATACGGCTTTTTAACCCGAATGAGACAACGTTTAGTGGATGCGTCAAGTTCAGTGGACCAGTTATTCCCTCGAAGACGGACTGTCAGTGGCTGAATCAAAGAGACAGAGTGAGGAATAAACCGTCGGTAGTAACTTATGAAGTCGCTGGAAGTGAGAAGATTTTTCATCGTATTTGGATCCGGAAAGTTTAAATCGCCTCGACTTTACTGGCCAGTGTGTAAACACCCTTCCAGTCAGTGGTGTGGCCGAGAAAGTCCAGCGATTCTACTCTTGTTCTCCAATTTTGAATATTGATGGTAACACCATGTTGGTGTATCTTTTCGAATGCTAGGTCCAAGAGTCTAAGTAATGTTTCTTTGTTTTGACTCGCGATGAGGCAGTCATCTAAGCGTGCGTGTACAAGTTTAAGACTGTGAAATACCCTGTCAGTGAGGCATTGGAACAATTGTGCTGCGTTTCGGAGACCGAATGTCATATGTAGAAATTCGAAGAGCCCGAAAGGCGAGATGATAATGGTTTTTTCTTTCCACTCTGCTATTCGCTTACCTAGTACAAATGCTATTCAACTCTATTCTGATTAACTAAAGTATGTGAATACCTTCCTTGCCAATATTAAAATTGTTCAACGTTATATGTGGCTGTGAGGAAACAGCGAAATGAAATGATGATACGAGATTATTTTGCTCGGTTTGCTGTCTTCCACTTGTTTGATTTGATCAAAGAGAAGAAAAGTATATCAAACAACTGTTGACGTGGTTTACATTCATACAAACAAAGAGTGGTTATGAACACGAATTATCATACAGCACACTCTCCTTTTTCAAACCTCGTTTTCTCAGTCTCTTTCGGCATAACTCAGTTACTCAACACACTCATATTTATGAGTTTCTTTCATTTGTGATTGTTCAGCATTTCCTCAGCGTGTCACATCAGGTAGCAGTTGTTAGCTTTTGTCCAATCTTCGATGGAGTCGTGGTGAACTCTACTGAATACTTCCAGACTTGAGTTTCCAACATTCGCATTGTGTGATGTAAACATTTCGGGTTTTTAGCGACAACCGTCATGAATTGTTACCTCAAACTGTGCAATATTCAGATGATATGTCATTCGTGTCAGTGTTTACTACGAAATGTAGCCTGAGAATGTTGTTACATCTCAGTGTTAATTTCTAAAAGTGTAAGAGCCTAGTTTTCACTTTATCCTTGGTTTAATTTCGAATAAGTATTAATGTACATAAGAAGTGTGATATACACTAGCTGAATAGATATAGCTGTGCTATTAAGTCTGAGCCTGGCCTGAATATCTACGGTCGTATTAGTGGGAATAAGGAATGAAAAGCAATAGGATTTATAGTATGAATGTATTACAATTTAGTGTAAATATTTCAAGTTAAATAAAATTTAATACAAGATGACTGTCATATTTGTCTAGTATGTAACTCAAGCGTTAAATTTTCAATGTTGAAAAATGTTTGTTTAACTAGTTGATGTTCACTTTTGATTCTTTTTCATTGATTTCACTCTAGCCTTCGTCAATGCTATCCAAATTGGTTGTGGCAATAGATCGAATAAAAATGCCTTCAAATCATGACGAATGTAACCATAGGTGAAGCTTTCTACGCCTAACATGTCCAATGCACTTTTCACATATGTTTCTGCAGTCGGTATGAAATATGTTGGCTGGTCAATCTTTGTCATCGGTGTAGCAACAAGTAGTGGACAGACAGTTTGTATTACAATCTTTTTCTTATAGTCTTCTGCTATGATAGATCTAGAGAATTGAATAACAAAGGCTTTTGTTGCTGCATACATTGCAATATAAGGAAAGACTTTGACACCGGAATAGGATGCAATATTGATAATAGCTGGGTTGGGTTTCTTTTGTGATAACATTTTGGGCATTACTATACGTGTCATTGTCGTTGTTGACAGTGCATTACAATGGATGATATTTTTGATGAAGTCCTTACTATTTGAATCTTTTGATGATATGAATAAACCTGTTTCCCCCATCATTCCAACATTATTGACTAAACAGGCGATGGAGGGGAGTTTCTCAATTTCAGGTTCAATTATATCATATACATTATCCTAAACAAATGTTGATACAGAATTATTACTGTTATTATTAATATTAATATTATTAATATGAATTTAGAATTGTTAACATTTGCGCACAAATCAGAAATAAATATTGTATTCTTACGTTGAAAAATAGAAAGATAGAATCAGTTATGTTTTCTTCGCTTGTATTTATCATCTAATTCAGAGTTCGCTGATGCTGTCAGCTAAGGGTTACACCATGTTGGAAAAGTGGCTGCATTCACTGGAGTGTAGGCTCTTACATTCAGAGGTTTTACTTTGTGATGCGGTTGTGTTCTCTGAACTTACGATGCGAATTAACTACCAGTCACATTCAAGGTCGTCAGAAGGAACAATTGGATTATTCCTGGAGAATTCAAATAAGTTCACTTCATATTTAAGTCTGACCCGAAGACGTTGTCTTGGAAGACAATCGAAGCTGAGAGAACTCAGGCAAATTTAAATCATCCACTTCAGCGACAAATATTCTGTATAATTTCAGAGTTTCCACTTGAATGGTAAAATATTTCTCTGAATGGCGGATCACGTATTTCTTAATGCGCCTGTTAGTGAACGTGATAGAGGATGCCTGACAAAAGTGGATTACAGTGCATTGTAATCGTCAGAACTTCTCAAGTTAATAAGAGTCCCAGGTGATAAGATAGAATCAACAATGAAGACAGTCGCGATGTATGTTAGGCAGATAAATCGTGATAGCGTAGGGGAAATCAAAGACCTTTTGCTTCATAGATTTCATATGAAGCTTGTTGAGGGTACACAATACTGAAAAAATGTCCCTATTGTTATTTCGTGATTTACAATATTTCCTCGAATGTTGGTTTGAAGCGATCTGATTGGTTACAGGTTTGATCACGAACTGTCATCACTTGGAGAACGCTGCGAAAGCAGGGAGAACCGGACAGCTGCCTCGCCTTAGTTTTTGACTCTTCACCAATACACCCTAGCCGAGGTTTGAACCAAGGAGCTTCGGGTTAAACTGTGAGGTCGTACACCAGTCAGGCACCTGGACCTTATCCAGTGGCCCGTGTATCTCAAACTCAGTCAAACCGCTCTATGAAAAAAGTCACATGAAGTTCTATTGGCGCCATACATATCGTGAATTGGCAGAGTTTGAAATTCATAAGTCATTGGATCGGACCAATATCTGAGTGGTTTCGTAGCTCGCCTTGTAGCTGGAAGTTGCTGGATCCTGACTTCGGTGGGTGTCTACCACTCAGAAGTCCCAAACTGCAATGAGAAAACTGCCCAGTACTCCCAATTTCTCCTATGCTTCTGTAACTGATGTCAGTTTGTGTTTGAACCTGTAAATTATGATATTTGTCAGCTTTTAGGTGAAAAAGTTCTAAAGAGCGCACACTGCAATAAAACGGAATTCTCGAAAGTTTTCTCAACTTTAGATTTCTCATTCTAAGAGGATTATATTCCCACTGCATACCAACTCCATTGTTAGCCATGCTGTATTGGCTGCCTTGGTCTAATTTAACTGTAATTCTCCTTCTTAAATATTCAGGTGGTTTGAGGTTAGAGATGTGGGTTTCAAATCCTTGAGAAGCAACACATGATTATCGTAAAATTGATCAAATAATAGTAAAAACGTAGAGAATATAAAGCACATATGTATATCGCTTGTAGTCATTGCTTGATTAAAATGCTCATTAAAAGAATCTAATGAAACTGTTTTTCGAAGTCATTTCAAATTTATACACTGTCACCTGTCTTTTTGAAGTTATTTCAGATAGCTTATTCTTACAGATACTCCATCAAATAAGAGCTATGAAGCTGTAATGGTAGGTGGATGGAGTTCAACATCCAAAGCTACAGTAAAATACAAGTTGATGTGACTTTAAAAGTATTGACATATGTAAATAAGGGATAGAAATGTCAGGAAGCACAGTCGTCTGTGATTTGTCATCATCTTCTGAAGAAATAAAACGGAGTTTTCATTGATACACTACTTGTTGAGTGGATACAAATGGTGGACGAAACTGTGGAACTATTATTGACGAATATTTTTCCACGGCCAAAAATCTGTGACACGATCACTTGTGAATTTTGCATGTTTAATCTACTGTGACTACATAGTGTCCTTCGTATTCGGGATGTGTACAGTAGAGATACCACTTCGTTACTCTCTTTACTCGCACTTTTCTGAATTTCTGGCGTACAACTAATGAAACAACAGGTTAACTGGTTACAATCAAGTAAACAGTGTGGTTTTCACACTCAGTCAAATGCGAAAATATATTTCTGTAGTCAAGACATTCATCGTCCAGCCAGTCAGTTTCTGGAAGATACTTTGAATCGTCTTGAAGTGTGTGCTTACATTACACATGAGTGTGGATTCTGAGAAAATTTTGTTTATTAGTTTTGGATTCCCATGTTAGAACTGTACAGGTTGTATATGGTTGACGAGAAAAGCCAATGAAATAGAATGACATCAGCTTATTCTGCTACAACCGTTGCTGTTTATTTTATTCAAATAATTAAAGCAGAATGTGTGTATGAAGTTTATTGGAGGTTGACTACATTATTTTTACATCTGCTGCTCCATTCACTGTTCTACAAATACTTCGATAGGACTAGATCCTTCACATTTTAGCATATTTTGTTATGTGAAATGAAGAAATCAGTCAACAATCCCGGTAATTCATAAATTCATTTCAGTAAGCAAACAAAAACAAGTTTTCGTTATGCAAACTGTAACTAATAGGATACTAGAGTCTCTGCTGATGAAGGGATGTTGATCATAAACTAAGTTTCGTATTCCGACCATCAAACTCAACAGACCGTATTGTGTGACAGATATTAGAGTATAATGAGCAACCATTTGAAATTTCACATTTTCAAATTACAACCACAAGTGTGTACGTGGACCACTACACTGATCGATGCAGGTCCTAATTTATCAACTGAAAAATTTAACCTTGTTAATCTTTGTGCAACTAATATTTCACTCTGAGTTTTGTGAAGGTTAAAGCTAAGAGATTTAATTTCCAAATAGATATTTTATCATTGAAATTTTCTACTTTTGAAGGACAGCCATTACTTGGACAGAATGGTATGACGACAGGTATTTCCAATTATTTTTGGAAACAGTGTCACGTAAATGACTGAAAGCAACCAAATTTCACGGATCTCGTCTATCTGGCGTATAAAGTAACAATTCACATTTCCAGACTGAATAGCTGTTCACTGAACAACAGATTTGCCAACTTAATCAGATATGTTAATGAGGCGCTGAGCAAGCTGTACGAATGGGAAATGAAATGTCCGTTATATACGGATCTGATTCTATTTCTCGCTTTTATTCGCTTGGTGGTAGATGGTAGGGAGATCTGTTGTGTCAATTCCACACAATTTAAGACTCGTCATCTGGATCAAATCACATCAAGTCATAGTTGGAACAGTGTCGGAGCGTCTGTACCAGGAGTTGATTCACTAGTACGAACCGACCAATTCATTACAGCAAAATCATAAAACAGAAGATTCAAAACTTCCAATAAATAATTACTTACTACAGCTTTTGTCATAACAAAAATATTAAGACTCACATTTGTAAAATCAGCGACAACAATTTTAGTTTCGATTTTATATTTCTTACACAATTCGTCGGCAACCGAAAACAGTTGTTGCTCATCGTTACCAATCAGCATAATATTTAAACCATCTTTAGCTAATTCGTCTGCATAGGCTTTACCGATTCCAGATGATGCACCAGTAACTATTGCCCATTGACCAGCACGTCTCAAATACTTCCTCTTGGAGCAACAAAATTTCCCCACAGTGTATTTTAGCAGGATACCCAATAACTTCATGACTTTCAACTTCAGCCACAAGCTTATTAGGACAATAAGCAAAATCCACCAATCCTCTTGTATTTTCTTCAAAATATCCTATGTCGAAAGTCGAATGAAAGAAATTCGGAAATGATAAGTTATTTTTTGAAAAGAAGCAATGGTGAAATAAAGGTGAATAAAACTGAACCTCTGTTCATTGTTTATTTCTTGTCGTGATGCAGCACAAATTAACTAATCATTTGTTGTAAAATGCTATCGACTGAACTACAAGTGAGTAAGCTCGCTAGCCCAATAGATAACGTGAACTACTGTCTTAATCTCCATGAAAATCGTGATATTTGTGTGTTATAACTTGATCATTGTTTTACAATTTCATACTTTAGAAGTTCTATATAATGATTTCAATTGAAAGGAGTAATTAATGGTTAGTACCCAATTGTTACTACCTCATCCTGTTTATGTGATTTGAAGGAAATAGCACACAGATTGATAGATTCACATTCTCCAAATGAACGCATTATTCTGAGCAAGGGAAAATGCCTTTAGTGGTAGATATCTTCCGCTGATCAGGACAATAACTTGTACATGATCATATGTGTGATTTCTGTAGATTTAATTGGTCTCAAGACAGATTTGACTACGATTCAACATGTGGTAAATGATTGAAAACAGTGAGTGGCAGAGTGGTGTTTCTGTTGGCCTATGAAATTCCAGCATTGCCGTATGACTTATCACACAGATTGGACAATCACTCACTGTACTGCTAGAGATTCATCGAGGAAGACAGAACGACTGTATATTGCTAGTTGTTTCGATAAATGATACAACTGCATTACTTAATGCACCTGGACATTAATTTAACACCCAAGAATTTAATTGTAAATAGTTTCCAATTGGGTTCATCAGTGATCAGGTGAGAAGTTGTGGCTAGTAGGGAGATTCAACAACCATGAAGAAACATGAATTTATTCAACAGTGCAAATAAACATCACTGATCACTGGTTGAAGCGATCAAACTGAATGTCATGCAACCTAACATCGAGTTTTCATTGATTTCTCTCCATTGTTATTGCAGCGATGTTATATCATGCACACACAGGATATTTGATATTCTGAAAATTGAAATTCTGACAAATCCCTTTAGATAAATAAACTACACGAATCGTACAACAGAATTGATTGATCCGGTCATACTGGTTGATAAACCTTCAATCTGTGTCAATAAGAATTATCACCAGACGAAATTTGGGTATTGAGAGAGTTTTGAAGGAGAATGAATCTTCCTGACCATTTGTTGGAAGAAATGAAACATGACGAATATCAGTTTTTGATAGTGACACATCACAGAGGATTTACAATTGGGTCAGGGAGTGAACAATTAAATCGAGGATGTTGAAACGTCTATATATTTTCGTCTGTCAGAAACGACTTACTGTCAACCACAATCCCCGTACTGTAAGTCATTACGGATCACACCCTTGTTAGACTTTATAAACTATTACTTAACAGACAAGGAAGCCAGTACAACTGCTTCTCAGAATTGATGAGCGGGATACTGTATCACTGTTACATCTCTTTTCTCAAATGATAGCAGGTTAACCAATGGACTCCAATGGTTGTGAGAACTGCTTACGGTTTATTGGCTATTCAACAGATATTTCTAGTATAATAAGTTTTCTGAGCCAAATGGAAGAGCTGACTGACTTAAAATTGGTGTTGAAAATCAGAATGAATGATTAGGAGTAATCCAAATGTAAGCTAATCTTATCTTGAGAACACTGCATTTGAAACATAGTCAATGAACTAGATATCATCTATATAATTATTCAAGTAAACACAATTCCACTCTATTGCCTTCATACGAAATTGAGTGTATTCATGAATTTAGGTCGTCGCTAAAGTATCGCGATGCAAGGACAGAGCAATCAGATCAAAGTGGTGTCACCAGGTAAAACAAAACACCATATTCCAAAGAATAATGCTGGGAAAGGACAAGAAGTTTAGACTAGATACCTCTTGTTATAATTTTCTCTATTACGGATGCATAACCCTGTTCCTCTTCTTTCAACCAAATTGGCTGGATTCATGGTAATGGTCGTTTGATGGCCATTGGTGGGTTGGATCGCTTTTCTTTAAATTTGCAGATGTTAGGTTCATACAACAGAACGCCAAAGAGTACTACTGACTAACTGTGTACAGATTGATAATTTTGAAAGTACTGCATAACAAGACTTAAGAGATGACTTGTAAATTTTCGACCACAATAAACAGCAATGACAGGATGACTAAGTGAAGCAGCCTTAGCTATGGAATTGAGCATAGTTGTAAAGCCTTATAATAAAAAGTAGTTCCATCCAATATTTTCAAATCGAAAGAAGTGTATAGACAACTGAGATCCACACAATTCCAGCTGCTGGGTATTGTGGGTATGTCAAGCTGACGAATCAGAAATATGATGAAATGCACATTCTGGATTCTACTACCAGTCTCCATCCATCTTACAACATCATGTTACTCCTAAGACATCGTCGAAGTGTCCGCACTAGGAGTAGACATGTCAACAGTGGACGAAGATTACGGCCTTATCAATCAGCGGGAAAATCAAAATCGAATGAAAACAACTTAACACAATTCACAGTGTTGAAACAAAGTTCTCCATGGATTATTTAAAATAACAAGTAGTCAAAATCGGAGGAATTCACTAAACTAGTGCAAACCTCAACACCACATGAGTATATCACTCACAAGTCAACGTGAATTGATCACTCGTTTTGTTGGTCGTGAACAAAAGTGGATATATTGTAAAGTTGAGTAGACTAAACACCTAAATTTACTGCATCGTTTCCATTACTGGATGTGATGTGAAGTAGAAGCTTAGAAAAACGTTTTCTGAATACAAACAGCTACAAAAGGATAATTGCTACCTCTGTATTCTGAACAACTCTCTAAAAACAAAACTATACATAAAATAACAATAGTCACATTACATTGTCTAACTAAAATAATGATAATAATAATCATTTGAATAAAATAATTTGATCAGGTATGAGAGCTAGTGAACAAGTGAACATCAGCATCAGCAAAACTATTTAGGTCAACATCTTGACATTTTCATCACTACTTCCACATACATTTTGCTCTTACATTTCAGTGGTTTCAGTCTTCACCTAGGACCCAACAGATTTCAAACTAAGCCTACTCCAAACGCCTACACGAGAAAAACAATTGTGACCTCTTATTTTTCTAAATCAACAAAATACAGTAGAGATATGCATACATATATACGTATTAATTAAAGTTCCATTAAATATTTTCGTTTGTTAAAGTACGTTAATGCAGTATATGTGTAAATTAATTAATACTGAAATATTAGTGTATCTTATAAGATATCGTTTGTAAATAATTCACTGAGAGTATACTAAATTTTGAGAGCTAAGTAAAGGATTCACTATATGTTCGTCCTTATGGAAGAGTCTGTACAAGTTCTGGATTACTGGACCGCTATTTCTCCGCAGTTTGGGACAATGCAACAGTATGCAACCACCAGGGTTAAAACCTCGACCTTCTGGTTACAAGGCGAGCTCGTAGACCATTAAGCAAGTGGGACAAGATGCAATGGCCCATGAATTCCAGACATAGCCGGACCGTTAGCCCATCAGGTCGTGTGTGAGGACAAATACTCGCCGAGGACATTGACTAGTGGTCGCGCTATGACATGAATCAGTGGAATTCGGAATTCAAAGAATGGTGATTGGATCGTGTCCCCATCCCCAATGGTCTACGAGCTCGCCACGTAAGCAGAAGTTTCAGAGTTCGAACAGCGGTGGTGCGTGCGAACAGATGAAGAGTCCCATAGTACAACAAAACAGCTGTACAGTACTCCCACGCATTCCAGTCGTTATCCAACCGATATCAGCTCATGATAAAATCCTGTAATCAATAAATGAAATCAAAACAAAAGTTTGTGCTGAATAATATACTACCATCATGTATATTATCCGATTATCATCAACTGCCTACAACCTCAAACGTTCAATAAGTTCATATATGAAGAAATCTTAATGTATTCGCAAAGATGACATGATAACAGTCGACGCGAGACTCCAAAATTATTAAATAGTTCTCAGAAATGACACCTACATAACTTGTACACAGAGGATTCGTGTTTAAACAAGGTGAGATCAAAAAATTAATGAGTGTTTGAATGCATTAAGCAGGAAGTTGTGCAATATGGAGAAGAGGAGGACAAGTAGATTTACTAGGGTATTGGCAAGATTTATTTCCCGATACGAATTTAAAGTGAAAAACGAAAGTCAATAAAGCAGGATTTGATGAATTCATCAAATTTCAGTAGAACGCTTCACCTGGATACTCTACGTACAAGCATGCAGAATTAGGCATAACAAGTCCTCGTGACAGCCTCATCGAGTCCTCGTTCGACTCCTTCTTGGACATCATCTCCTTTGGACGGCGAATTGATAATTATGTACCACATAGCACTATTTCTGATTCATTGAAAAACATCTTTTATCATTACCAGTATCCTAACTCGTTTTAACAACATTATTATTATTATTATCATTATTGTTACTATTATTACCACTATTATTATTATCATCATCAGTATTATTTAGCTCGCAATTCTTGATGTAATCAAGTTCTTTCACTCACTGACAACTAATTGATTATTCAAGAGATGTATATGAACCGTGATACGTGATATATTAATTGTACATCCTTGTATGTAGAGTATCCGGGTGAAGCGTTCTACTCATATTTGATGAATTCATTGAATCCCAGTTAATTGACATTTGTTGCTTGTCTTAAGTCACATGATTCTTTGAATGCAGTTTAATATTTGTAAATGTTGTGCTGTCAGTTTGTATACGACAGAGTGTCTTATTAGTATGAATTAGTCACCTGGAGGAAATCAGTGTCCTGCGCCTCCTATCTAGTATTGATTTTGACTGAATTCTCTCAATCGAACCCTCACTCAGATCACCCATTAGACTAGGAAAGTCTTCATTCCGATGAGATTTGAAATGAAGTTGTATAGTTAAATGTAATTGGCAGGAACCTCTGAAGTCAAGTTTTGCACTCCTTAGTAATCGCCCGGGGAACTGATGCGTCTTCCGTTATTCGAAACAATGTCACGCAACACTGCAGTCAACACTTCATCACTGAACTGTTTGGACTCAAAATGAAACTCTCTACTGACATATCAATGCATCTATTTCAGTCCTGTCAAAGGTCCATTGTGTACTTGATTAGCTCATAGGTAAGATAACTAACCTTAACAATCAGTTCCGTCAAGTATTCAGGTACCTCCTCATGATGATTGATGCCACAAAGAACGATATCTATATGAGGAATGAGTTTCCATCACTTGCCTCCACCCAAGCAACATCGTCTCAGAGTGCCTTGTTGTCACCATATCCATTAATTTTTTTATTTAAGCCGAACGTTGAATGCTACATCTACTGACAAAATTTGTGTGCTTTAGCTTCACATGATTTTCATCAACCAGATTACTTTCATGACAATGATTTTTATGATTGTCTCACTTCACTAAAAGCAGGTTGTGACTTTTGCAAGGAGAGAAATTCCAGCGATGTACATATATATGTGGTTAGCTACTTCGGGCTCCGAATGATCAAGCATCCTATGATATTATGTAGAGAACGTAAATATGAGCTTCTGATAAACCTTTTAATTCGAATGAGGGCGCTTGTCAAGGTCAAAGAATCTCATTCTTCTTAATGTTGTAAAGTGAAGTGGATGAAATGACAGAACTGTGTTAAACGTTTCCAAGTTTATCTATTAGATGCTCTCGAATACGGCGAAATAGAGGCACTGACGAATAATCTACATACTTCTCCCTGAATGATCAGATCTGGTTAACAAGCACTTCTGGCTTATGTGAATGGCACCCAACTAATCATTCCGATCAGTCTGTTGTATCGTATATATGGCATCGTGCACTCATCTTCGCTTCCCTAGTTGTCATTTATGTTATCAAGTAAATCAGCTATTGTGATTGGCGTAATTTCAATTCTCAAGAGAAATTGTATCGATTGCAAATCGTGGATTCGATTCAAGCATCAGGTGTCAGCAGTGATGAGGAATATTTCTGTTTCTGGTGTTGAAGTGAAGTTTCTATGATTGTGTACCGTGTTCATTCTTCACATTCCTTCACATACGAAGAAACCTCCGACAATGTAGACGGCCTTGTTTGATTAAGAGAGAAGCGTTACACTACTGATAACTGATGTTGTAATACTACAAAGAATAACAATGACAATGGCATTTCATGCCAACATACCGATATACTTTGGTTTCATTTCCAAAGTGAGCATTAATCGTGCTCCATTGAATAAGCGTACAGTTTAACATTCCTACACTGTTCAGATGCAACAATGTGTGTAACACACAATGTCACATCACTTATTTGCTTAATGTAACACTTGTATTTTATAAAGACGAAAAGGCAGATCGATTGGACATACAGTGAAGACACTGTTGAGCGACAACATGCGCCATCCTCCACTGTTCTCCCTCTCTCCTCCCATCAGATAGAGCCCAAATGAGAAACGACGATTTGTGGGTGGTTCCTAGGGTGGCATGGAGAAGATCGTGTGAGGAAGAAACGAAAACGACTGTGTAATCATGGAGTCAATCTAGAAAGACTGCAGAGACGGGAGTGGAATTGAGATGTTGTGCTGAAGCCCAATGTTCTACTCGAAACGCAAGTGACTAATAATAGTAATAATATTGATAAATACTCAATTAAAAAAGCAACTACTTAAGCTATTTGAAATCTGCAAAATTCAACATTGAGGATTTAAAAGCCTGTGTAATATCCTCACGAACCCATTTCAACAAGACATCAGTATTAGTAAATAGATAAATAAATAAATAGAGAAATAAGATGTTCATGTTGACGTACCATTTATTCTCCTGGATGAATGTTTCTTGTTCAACTTTGAAGGATCTGTAGAATAATCGAGAGTGTTATTCAACACATCCTGTCCATATATATATGAGACGGTTAAGAGTAAATCAAGGTTTCATATGGAATGGAATGCAAGGTGTTCTTGTGTGTGTGTGCCGATGCGTGTGCTGTTATACATACGTGTTGTACTTCCCGGTATGTTGATTTATACATTACTATATTAGAATATACACATCTACAGTTGCGTTTTCTTCTTGTTATGTTAGAAACCACTACTTTTTTTTCTGGAAAATAAACAACCAACAATAAGGTTATATGTATTTCTTTTTGTATATTCAAGGTTATATTTGTTACGCTTTCTGATGAGAAAATAATGTGCATACATTCCTACTTTTTATTAATGAATATGAAAGAGAAAAATAGTAAGGACATTATGTTTTCTTTTTGAATCGAAGGTGAAATAAAAAAGAAATCTGAGGTCATATCACTTTGATCAAATTGTCGTTAACAGAATACATGGAAAGTGCCCTGGTAGCAGTAGTTAATGTGATGGCTGAACCATGGGATGCAACATAAAACAGAGTGTGATAAACACCCAGATGAATTAACATAGGCGTATATTTTTACAATATCATTGGAGATGAATGTTACAGCATGATGGATACTATCACAGGTGATTACTTATACAGGTTACTAGTAGAAGAGACAAGCGATTATCATAGCACTAACTGCTCTATAAATATATTACTCACATTTATGACAGTAGTTTGGAAAACTAGTGAGATTAACAACCTCTGTCAAGAAAAATGATTAAATATTGATGTTGTCAGGTATTTTGAATTAGTTGTATTCTGTGAACTGGTTGATTCAGCCGCAAAGCACAGGATTCAAGTTCTTATATTAGTGAACTCAAAAGTTGGGGTAGATTCACTTTACAGTTCGCTTAGGAAAAACATCATACTCAAAGTTTGCTACAATGTTCTAACCAAAGTTCGTTAATCACCTAGGAATTAGTAAAGACTAATGAATCAGTTATATTGCTATCTTTTTTGTTTTTAAGCATAGGTCAAGTAAACTCAGTTGGTTTCATAATGCCAGTTATGGAATCACTGAAAAATATGTTGCACTGAACGAGTGTTTTGTTCAAGATCAAGACTCGTCGGCAGTACGCCATACACATCATGCTACCAGAGATCAAGACTAGGACTTTCACTTTAAATTGTGAACACTTTGTCATTCAGCATTTGTTTTGATATTTGGAAGCTCAATGAATTCTAGACTATTTCATTGCACAAGATATCGTGACAGCCAACGAGTGTCGTCAACAAGCATCTCTCCTGGCATCTGACGTGGTCGACTGTGGTGGAGTAGGTCTGTATTCCTCGCTGATTTTCAGTGTTTCTATATATGATTTCGTTCGTCACAACATTCATCTTTCGAAATCAATCAATTCTCGTGAAGACAACATTCATGATTTATCTTTCTCTCTCTCCCCTATAAATGTGCGTCCAGCATAGTTGGACGTGTTTTTAAATAACTGTAGCTATTCAGCATTGTAGCTCTGTTTCTGAGCAGATGAAAGAATTTCAGCCAACAAACACTTTTATTGTAGCGATTAAACAGAGAAGGTGATGTGTGATTGTTTAACTAGTCTATGAAAATAAAAACCTCAAATTCGTACACTCTCTCATTCTCTAACCATTCTCCAAACTGAAAATGTTAGCAGTGAAATTGAATTTGGACCGAAACTGAGGTTCGTCTATGCACTACTCAGTTTGTGTGTACGGCTTTGACTGAACCCAGTAGGAAGACTGAATTGTTTGAACAGTGTTAGAAAAGTTTTGAGCTAGAACAATAAAATAAATTGACCTGATTTCATCATCTTTCGTGACAAATGCAGAATCTTTTGGAAATGTGGTGAGTAATCTTTGACTAACTAATGTTGCGCTTTTGTTTTGACTTGCCCAACCCAGTGGCAAACATATAGACTCTGATCAAAGAAGCATTTGGATGATAACTGGTGGAAAGTGGAGTAAATATTATAACTCACTGGGTGCTGAAGTTGAAGGTTTTGTGTTTCCAAGTTAGATTTATGTTGTTGTGTGGACGTGACACTTTTTCTGGGACAATGTTCGACGTCATATGATGAATCAGAATAAATTGTGTGATCATTTGTCTGGTGAGGAAAATTTAGTTGAGGGAAATGTATGAATACGTCGTATTTTTGTCTAACAAAGTCGTTCTTACATTCAGAGGCCAATATTTGTGTTCTGTTATTTTTGGCAGGAAGTTTTGGAATTCATTTTAATAATTATAATAATAATAGTAATAATTTGCTTTATTCCAAAACAGTACTTGTGATACAGAATGGAATTCTCAGCATTTTTACTACAGTATTGAATCCAGTTAGTTAGTTAGTGTTGAATAACACTCTCGATTATTCTACAGATTCTTCAAAGTTGAACAAGAAACATTCATCCAGGATAATAAATGGTACGTCAACATGAACATCTTATTTCTCTATTTATTTATTTATCTATTTACTAATACTGATGTCTTGTTGAAATGGGTTCGTGAGGATATTACACAGGCTTTTAAATCCTCAATGTTGAATTTTGCAGATTTCAAATAGCTTAAGTAGTTGCTTTTTTTAATTGAATATTTATCAATATTATTACTATTATTAGTCACTTGCGTTTCCAGTAGAACATTGGGCTTCAGCACAACATCTCAATTCCACTCCCGTCTCTGCAGTCTTTCTAGTTTGACTCCATGATTACACAGTCGTTTTCGTTTCTTCCTCACACGATCTTCTCCATGCCACCCTAGGAACCACCCACAAATCGTCGTTTCTCATTTGGGCTCTATCTGGGGGGGGGAGAGGGTGAACAGTGGAGGATGGCGCATGTTGTCGCTCAACAGTGTCTTCACTGTATGTCCAATCATCATGAGGAGGTACCTGAATACTTGACGGAACTGATTGCTAAGGTTAGTTATCTTACCTATGAGCTAATCAAGTACACAATGGACATTTGACAGGACTGAAATAGATGCACTGATTAGGCAGAAGAGAGGTTCATTGTAAGTCCGAACAGTTCAGTGATGAAGTGTTAACTGCAGTGTTGTGTGACATGGTTTCGAATAACGGAAGACGCATCGGTTCCCTGAGGGCTTCAGATACACCTTACTAGCAATTACTAAGGGGCTCGAAACCTGGCTTCAGAGGATCCTGCCAATTACATTTAACTATACAACTTCATTTCAAATCTCATCGGAATGAAGACTTTCCTAGTCTAATGGGTGATCTGAGTGAGGATTCGATTGAGAGAATTCAGTCAGGATCAATACTAGATAGGTGGCGCAGGACACTGATTTCCTCCAGGTGACTAATTCATACTAATAAGACACTCTGTCGTATACAAACTGACAACACAACACTTACAAATATTAAACTGCATTCAAAGAATCATGTGACTTAAGACAAGCAACAAATATCAATTAACTGGTGTCCAATGAATTCATCAAATATGAGTAGAACGCTTCACCTGGATACTCTACATACAAGGATGTACAAATAAGATATCACGTATCACGGTTCATATACATCACTTGAACAAACAATTAGTTGTCAGTGAGTGAAAGAACTTGATTACATCAAGAATTGCGAGCTAAATAATACTGATGATGATAATAATAGTAGTGCTAATAATAGTAACAATAATGATAATAATAATAATAATGTTGATAAAACGAGTTAGGATACTGGTAATGATAAAAGATGTTTTTCAATGAATCAGAAATAGTGCTATGTGGCATATATTTATCAATTCGCCGTCCAAAGGAGATGATGTACAAGAAGGAGTTGAACGAGGACTCGATGGGGCTGTCACGAGGACTTGTTATGCCTAATTCTGCATGCTTGTACGTAGAGTATCCAGGTGAAGCGTTCTACTGAAATTTGATGAATTCATGAAATCCTGCTTTATTGACTTTCGTGTTTCGTTTTAAATTCGTATCTGGAAATAAATCTTTCCAATACCTTAATAAATGTTAATATCATGCGATTTCTGTTGACCTAACATCAATCAGAATTATCACTAAAAACCAGTGAGAACTGGACAGCTATTTCGTCTGAGCCGAAACTTATTTGTCATTCTGCCTTTGGACTAGAATTCAATTACCCGTGAATTCTGAGTTTGCCAATTCATGATGTTGCACTTATTCAACCAATGCGTTCGATGAACGTACACTTCACTTTGACACGGTAAACCCCACTGGCCACAACTTCTAACTACTGCTTCAGAACATCTCTCCATCACCCATCAGTGAGCTGCAGATTGATATTTAGATTATGTGTTTACGACTGTCTCTCTAATTGATGTTTGTTCGTGACGAAATCGAGCTATGGAAATTAAAAAACCGTGTTTCTACAGTTTCCCGGGCTTATTTTGAAATGATGCCTTCTCACATTGGACGTCAATTTCAAAGGGAATCATTCAGTTGTACACAACAATCGCAGAATATAAAAGCTACTTGTTGAGCGTAAATAGAATAGTGTTCAGTCATTTTAAATTATTTCTAGAATATCAATAATATCTCTGGAAAACTTTCAGAATTAATGGCTTCATTTGAGAAATTATTTCCACTAGATGACTGCTGAGTATCTCTTATTTTATTTGTTAGTTTTGAACATTTGAAACAAATCTGTGAACCGTCTAGTAATGCAAATTGTAAGAACAAACTAGGAACAGATTGATTATTTTTTTTATCCTCCCCCAGATAGTTTTTGCTTGTGAATCGTTTTTATCTGTAGCGTTATGGGAATGACCATAACAAAATACCTATATAACCTCAGAATTTCATTGGAAAATGTGATATTTTAGGTCGTAAAGCGTGTGTGCGTGTGTGTGAGCGAGAGGGAGTGTACTTTTACCACAGAATTTCGCTCTTCATTCATTTTCTCTATCTGAATCAATAATTCCGTACAGCATTTAAGAAATGAGCCAACACATAGATAGTTCATTAAGATCACTCACGGTTAACTTCATTATCATCACCATCTTCATTTTATCTCAATTTCTGTCACATCAAGGAAACACTCATCTCAATGGTTGGTGGCATTAATTTCATATAATTAGGTTAGGCTTCTAGAAGACACTCATAAAAGATATCCTGTCAAGAATGATGAAGCCTGCATAACTTTAAAAATCTAACTTCTCATCTGATAAACACATAAGCAGCTAAACGTAGATGTTTCATACACTTATTTCGCTCTACGAATTTGAATAAAGCCAAAGCGAATGTTTGTGC